TTGCCGTGACATCGCATCAATGGACAAGATGGTTCAAAAACGGCCGGTTCCCTGGACATGGCCACTATCGAACGCATGCAACCGGGCACACGCATCGACCCAACTGGTTGATCATTTATAATCAGCCATTTTCTCCTCGCTCGAAGGGTGATGGGGTGCGTGTCCCGCGGCGTCAGGTCGTTGAGTCCGGATCCGGCTGCCAGTCGTGGAAGTGAACCGGCTTTACGCATCAGTAAGCCTTATTTCCCATGCTAATCGAATGGGGAAGATGGCATTCCACTGTCGTTGCAATGCTGCGGGAAAGTCATACCTGGTAGATAAACCTGCGTTAAAATGCCTCTCAAATGAAAAAGTGCACATTTTCCCGCTGAAGATGCATGAGGCTGCCATCACTGATATATTTGCGACGAGTGTTTGCAAATGTATTGTTTTCTGGAGAACGCGAAGGCCGGGTGGGGCCAGGCCGCTCACGTTTCAATGTTTTTTACCGTTTAAGCAAGAGTCGCTCGGCCTGCGGTCCCGGTTGTAGTAAAGAAGCACGTGCTTGTAACAAACAAGAACCTCTCGTACTTAATAACAGCTGAATCCATTTTTAGGCCTTAGACTTTCTGAAAACAGTTGCCTTATTTATTTTACCCTGGAACGCGAAGTAATTCTGATTTCTAGGCACACTTTTTCAAGTCAGATATATCTCAGGCATCGAGAGTATTGCCAATTTTGCCCTTTGCGCTCGACCGTTAAGATCGGGCTCCCGAATGACAGTCTAAAAAGGTGCTCCTATATGGCAGCCAACATCCGTGCTGTAAAGCGATCAACATGGAAAATGTAATGCTCATTTCGCCATATTGAAGGAGTTAAACCTGCCAGTGACTGGTGGGAGCTTATAGCCCATGCTGTTTGCACACACACAATAATGGCCAGTTGAAGGGAGCCGCCGGTTTAAAGCTTCCACTATTTGTACAGAAAAATACGCCTTCGCGACATTTGTGAAAGGGATGCTCGCAGCAATTTCGCGTCATCTCGTATTGAACCCATGTTTCAATCAATGGTGCTCTTTTCATCGTCCGCTACGCTAGTTTCTTATTCCGCGATGTCATCGAAAGTTGCAATGATGTCAAAGCGTGTAAGCTTGCTATTCCGTGGCTTCGTCAAATCAAGACGCATTGACAGGTTAAGTCAAATGCAGTCGCGAAGCCGGAAGGGCATCCTTCACCACTTCACTTCAGCGGGGCAACACTGGGTCGCAGGTTGCTGACGCCACGCATGTGTGACTTTTGTTCACAGCGTTGGACTTCCTGTTGGTGGTTTTTCTTTTCGAATTTAGATTTCAGATCTATTACGTGAGTTTACAGGCTGCACGGACGAGTTTCGATGGTTGGCATTATGGCATAACTTCGCATGATATGCTAAAAAGCTTGGAAGTGGTGTGGTTACGGCATGTTTTCCATGCGATTCAAATACCAAAATCATTTGGACTTGTATGTTGTCCCGCGTCTCCACCTAGCTTGTTAAGCATTTGGCGTTTTGTCATGCAGTCCCTGAGATCGGCCCCGGTCTCAGCAAATCTTCAGTCGCTCTCCTCACAACGGGTGGTTTGTCCCTCACATCAGGGTCTCCCGCACGTCAGTGCAGCGCGCACTACGGACAATGCTGTGGAACATGTGCTCCAGCACTCAATAATCACTGAGATGGGACGGTGCGTACTCTGGCTCACGCTCTCAGTCGACATTAGAGGTGCCGATTTGGTGCCAACATTTGGGACTCTAAAAAAAATGTCAAAGTCCAGTTAGGAAATTGGATGGACAAGGGCAAACATCTGTTAAATTTTTGTCGTTGGTCTTGTTGCTGGTCTTTTTTGGACTACGGATTGTACTTCAGGTAAGGCAGGCGACGGGTGACATCATTCTGTCGTTTCGCAAATTGATACACATCTCAGCATATTAAATGCTGCTCGTGTTCAAAATGGTTGGAATCTGAAGCCTAAGCAAGTTTTTGATAGAGCTCACTGGAACATGCTACTTTTTAAAGATGAAATTGAAACCTTCATCGCTTACACTACAACATTTTCCTTGCACTATGGGAATTATGAATTGGGATGGGAACGTGATCACCCACTTTGCCAACATTCGCAGTTCGCACCAGTTTTGAATCCCCGTTTTACGGCTGCCGTTTTTGTGACAAAAATTAATTTTGTTAACTTGGAATTCGTGAACAACCTGTTTTTTGTACACTTTTGGACGGATAGCTGATCTTGTTTTACTTCGGATTGTGCCCTGGACAAAAACTTCCTGGAAACAGCACCTCTCATCGACATTATTTCGTCGCTGGGGCTGCACTGAATGCTCGCTGCCGGCTCAGGTGCGGTCAGTCCGTGCAAATGCTGAAAGTGAATTACAGATCGGACCGCCAGGATGAATGAGCGAGATCGGAGGGAATTTAGGGAACCGACGTATTTTCAGCTGGTCTATTCACATGAAGCCAATCAGTCCGTGCTTACTAACCAGTAATACGTTTTTGCGGCATTAGGACGTACGAGGTAGTAACACACGTAATTATCCCCATGTAGATGTTTCATAAACATGACGGTCCGTTTATCCATCTTCATAATAGTTTTTAACCCCGTTGGGTGGCTGATGTGGTCCATGCTTATTCTGAACTAAATACTAGTCTTAAAGATGCCATGGACTGTATTGATTGGCGTGACATCCTCTGTAAAATAAAGGAAATACAGCGCACAAACCTTCAGCTTCAGACCATTGTCTAGTTCGGCATTGGCTTGTGTTGTGAACTTCATCACGTCCCGTGACAGAGAGCTTGTGCGTAGTTTGGCTTGTTTTATCGTACAGGCAAACAATGCGACGATTGCCATGTAAACTATCCTTTTTACTTCACGAATAATGGTACAAGTAATAAGCAGAAGAAACTTTGAGATGAGTACCCCAGCCCCGGTTTTCGACGCCGGCAGTTAACGGCGAGGCCCGCACCCCATTGGATCGCTGACGAGTATTCTCGTCAAGGACTGTTGTGTGATGGCCATTCCAGCTGCTGAAAGATGTTTCCGAACTGGTCAGCGCATTGTAAAGGAATTGTGGTCTGATGAGTTTTGAGCTTGCTTCCATGTTACGAGCCTGTGATCTGCGCGCTACAACTTCGCGTCATGTCAAGTCACTGGCATGTCACCCGTGCTCAAAGGTCTGCACGGCGACAGTTTCAAAAAACCCAGGTCTCTAGGCTCTGTGCATCAGACTGTGTAGTCTATCGGTTTTGGAGAGTGTGGAGTAGTGGCAACCTAATGGATGGCACCCTATGGTCTCCGTAACAATTTTTTGAAGTCATTGAAGCACAAACTACATTTTTGAGTACAGCATCATAATCACCTGCAAAACGTCCCATTATTGCACATGGTCATGCTTAATGGTTTGTTGAAGTTATTCCCATTGGTGATGAAGTTGTTAGGGGTAAAGTCTTAGAAGGTTTTCAGGATAATTTTGGAATTTCTTTAGGGCGCAAAAATAGCATTGTCTTACTCGACGATTTCAAGGCCAATGTAATCCACGTTCAGGGTCATCGAAGGCCATGGAATTCACTCAGGTAATCCCCACTACCACTCAAAAGCAGTTAAATGCTGACCCGCTTTGACTTGAACTGGCTTAACTTTGCAGACATTGAACAACTATGCAAATGCCGCGAAGAATGTAATTTGAAATTGCCTTGTCCGGTTTGGTAGCTCAACTACTACCAGGTGTATGCATAAAGTGGTTTCTGGGGGCGCGCTTCCCTCAGTTTTATCAAACCAACGGTATGCATTAATACGCGCGCGAATTAATGTTGACACTGAAGATTTCGGGGAAGAAGAGTGAGAACAAGAAGATCGAGAACGTGCGATGTGGTTTTGTGCCGTGACACGATTTTGACGCGCTTGCGGCGCGATATACTGAGTTTTCAGTAACAGACTTGTGTTGTAAGCCCCCATCCCTCATTACCAAATCCTGCATTCGCCCCTGGCTATAAGAAATATCAGTAAAATCAAATGGAACTAAAAGTAGTATATCCCAACGTGGTTCAGGCCACGTAGCGCTTTCGTTTCTGAGTTTCCGCCTCAGGCCAGCGCCGTTAGAGCCGGCGAGTGACCGCTACGCTGCCGGGTGGGTGAACCCGAAGAACATGGCGAGGGCTCAGTCCAGGCAGCAGTTTTGATGCTCAGCCTTTTCTTTCTTCAATGCGTGTCCAAACAGTTTAGAGTTGCATAGTGTCCTGCTCCCCGCTGGCTATTGAGAATGTCTTACAAACGACGACCCTGGGTTCCCGGATCTTGCATCCGATCTGATAAGCTGCTGGTGGCCGGTTGGTACCAGTTGTGCCTGACCGCCAGATAAGCCCACGCTCCGACCCACTCGGACTTTGCGCTGTCGTACGCACAAAAGGCACGGCACTACGCGTGCGCGTGGCAGCGACCGGCGCTCGTTTTCTTTACAGATCCGGGCTGGCGGCCTCACTGTTGTTGAACGACACTTCTAGACTGAGTCGTGTCGTATTTCAATGTGCATGGTGAATATTCCTGCGCTTCAGAAAGTCAGCCGCATCACCCTTTACGGATATCTGGATATGATGACGTACTTGGGATAAGTTGTGTGTGATAACGTGCCCATACTAAGATAAGTTGCTCATGTGCTTGGCTTTACTGGCGTCTGCAGTTAGTCCCTTGACGGAAAGTGGGGGAGATTGTCCGCCCTTGTTCCCGCCCCTGGATGTTGTCACTTTAGGCACGAGAAGCGAACCCGACTGTCGGCAATGCCGTCGTCGGGTGGCACACCGCTACGCCTGCGATGTTTCCGGCAAGCCATAACGTTCCCGGCAATCCCCCAGCACTGCAGGAATCTTCACTTCACTCGGGACATCCGTGTTTGTTCTCGTTCAGTGTGCCAGATACACTTCAGGGAGCCGTGGACCCGTCGCCTGCAGAACAATCGAGCCTGATTGCTTTTGCTTGCCTGTTGCAGGTAAAACACCGCAGGGCCTGTACAAATCAATCAACGGCGATGTGAGCAGTGAACCCAAGTCGCCAACTAGCCCGCAGCGGGTGGACCCCAAGGGCGCCCGACCCGATACTCCTAAGAAAGAGGAGGCCTCGAAGAGGGAGAAGACAGAGGTCAGCAGCGACGCAGGCGGTCCAGCGGCCATGCCCTTCACAGGATCCAGCAAGCCATCCAGCTTCGACTGTGAGTACCTGCATGGGCTGCGAATAAACGCTTTGCGCCGATGACCATCACGGAAACGAATGGATGTGAGAGGTACGCAATAAATGCGATATCGCTGTTATGTTGTACTAATTTATACCCACATTTGCATTTTGAATGGACAAATGCTATGTGACTGTTAACAGCAACGCGAACTCCGTGCATATTATTGGGACACACGTATTGTATTGTTTACTAGAGCAAGCTTAAGTTCAGATCGGATGCAAAGCCGCAAAAAACCGTGGGTTTTGTTTGTTTGCACAAAGCGCGTTTGTGATCTGATGACCCAGTGGTGCATATTTGTGCCAGACCAGTGGCCGGTTTTTCTCACTCAAATTTTGGTTATCCGTGCCACTGTGACCCGACTATGGAAATCTAAGCCCGGCGTCTGCTCATGATGTGGATACTCTTCATGGCATGCTAGTTTAAACAGTCGTTGGTGGTTCGTGGGCATTGTATGGTGGAATTAGGTTTATGACTGCATTCGTCCAGCAGTCAACTGATATGCATCAGTCCCTTGCGAGCTTGTCTGTACGTTGAAGAGTACTTCTGTTAAACGTCTAGTGTCCATCGCTGCTGAATTTAGTGCCGCGATTTGGTTTACAGATAACGGCCGCTTCTCGTTTCCCGGCTCGTCTCGATATGAGCAATGGGATGCACGCATGCCTGACTTTCTTTGATGAGTAGCCATCCTTCTCATCTCGGGAACTGTAGAGAAGTGTCCCCTTGTTGCCGAGTCTCAGTATTTCAAATGTTAACCAATTGGTTCTTTTTTTAGATAGACATGTTTGTCGCCATTCACGACTTGGCGTTATTTATCCCCATTTGTGGAAGAAAGTCGTCAAGTTAGCGATTTCATGCCGAATCTGGCAGCGGCTCATGCACAGCCTCCGCCACCTAGGGGAGGAAGTTTAAACTAAGAGTATCTCTGTTTGCCTTAGGAGTTGTATTTTTGGGCAATTAAAGCATTAGTTTTATATTGCGTCATAAAACTTCAGGTTATATAGTATTTTATTGAAATGTTTTTATCATACCCAAGCACATGCATTCAATTAAACAACAGCAAGCGTCCAGTTCAAGGCCACCATCTTGGGCCCCCGAACATCTGAATTTATACGTATCAGTAACTGGACTATTATGATATAAAAGAGTGCTAAAATATTCCCTAAGAATAACTAGGATTGTGTAATTTAAATTTTTGGTGTGAAATTCATATAGTTTTCTCGGAAAGAAAAGTCAAATAATATGTTGAGGTCATAACGGTAGTCATCCGCGCACCAGCAGACAGCAGAAGTTGTGGGAAGTTGTTGGTGTGCAGGAATCGCCAGTTCTGATCGCGGTGTGGCTGGTTGCGTGTGGGGCCCGCCTGTCGTGAAAGTGGATATTTTTTGTTTTGAGTGGAATTCCGTGCTATGGCGGTGTGTGTCGGCTGAATCTCCTGGAACGGTAGAAGGACTTTCGTTAACTAGTGTCTTCGAATCGTAATCAGAATGGGAAACACAGCTACGTCTAAAAAGGGAGACTCATCGGAGAACGGTATGAAAACGGGATTACTTCCTTATTTGATATAAGCCGCTGTGTGCCTGTCAGATACGTGCTCGGCTGAAGTAAGACGGAAATAACCCAATAATCATTAATAGTTCAAGCCAGGGCCAGCTTTGTATCAAAGGATGCGCATGTGACATAACCTCAGTCTTGGATTCATTATTATTATTGGGCCATTGCATCTCGCGAACTACCAGAGCTGTTTCTAGATGAATGCCTTCATCAGGTATTATGTGGCACACGGTAGAGACGTGGCAGGGGCTTGAGGCCAGGATCAAAAGGTCGAATCAAGCAACCCAACCACCATTGTACCACCCATGGATGCAGCATGCCATGCAAGTGCGATAAATGTGATGCCCCCTTCTTAAATTAGGAACTTGATTTGCATCATTTTCATTTCAGTTTTGTGTTTGTATGATAAAGAGCCTTAAAAGGTGGCATCTGGAGAATTTGATTGGGATGCTGTTGGTTTTGAATCAAACATAGCCCATTAGCCCATATAGCCCATGGTTACCTACCTTTTGTGGTGTTCACAGTTAATGTCAGTATGCATATGATAGGTGTGCCTGCACATTCAACATATATGTGTGAGCAGATGGAGGGGACCACAGTCTCCCGCTTTTATGAAGGTGAACTGAGAGCCTTATAAAGAGGCATTGGAAAATGACTGAAAAATAGGGCTTTTGTCCCTGTGCATTCAAGCATATTTGCAAATCTCCTATGCCTGGATTCCTGATACCACAGCAACTCTCTGCTTGATATCGGCTTGATAACTTAAGAACCTATCATTGCCATTTTTGAAGTTGTGCAAAACATTTGGTATGCTTGTAAACCATCTCCCTCAAATAACATAGCAATTTTTCATTACTTATGGTTTTCAGTAGTGAGCAATAGGCAGTGATGTTCAAGAAGAAGTAGTTGTGACAAGACTACTGGTGCAGTGTGTTATGTGCATGCTGAACTTTGCACTTGTGCCCCAAAGTTTTAGCCAGGCCAAGCTGCCCTGAATTTTTGGATTAATTGTATGTGAAAAGGGTTTACAGAGTATATTTTCCTCAACTTGCCTTTCCAAGATCTGAATTCTTTGAAAAATGTGGTAAATGCTCCAAAACTGGTGGTGGCCTCTGTAATTGGCAGCAAATGTGCCCCAAATCAAACTCTTGAGCACTGTTTGGATTTACAGAAAATATGTATGTTGAAATGGTTGCTCTCTGGATGCCTTGGAAATTCTACAAACCAGCATGCTCTTTTGCAGTCTGGCTCCTGGTCACCTGTTCTGTGGTAGCATATAAGAAAATAGCATTGGGCAATAAGTTGTTTATCTTTGTAGTGTATATTATATATTTGGCTGCAGAAACTTAGTCATTTTCTCTCAAGATTGGAGCTCATGGCTTATCTTTCTGTAACAACTTTTATGTTGTACTACTGTATATTTTACTCAGTATGGGGCATAATGCATTGACATGTGTCAAGCTATAACCTTGATTTTCAAGCAATTTCAAATGATTGTGGTTGTGGTTTCATTGGATGATCTATTGTATAAAAGCACAGCTGTGGTGGTTTGGCATTATGCCATGAGGTCATTATGCACAGAATGTTTTGTTACCATCTGAAGCTTTTTATATAGGCACATACTTATTTTGATGTCACTGAATTATTGATTGCACACTGCAAATCATGACTAAGTCAGGGAATGAAGTTCATGCCAAATTTATTAGTGTGACAACCACAATGCAGCATGTTGTTTGGTCTCAGAATCAGTCTTGAAGTGGAATAGAGTGAAGCATGGATTGCTGACCATTTAGCCTGGTACTACTTGGGTTGTATGGGCCAGTGCTTGACATGTGTCAGACACTTGTATTGCCTTTACCATACCATTTAGACTCCAACTCAACTGTGCTTTTTGCAGGTTAGGCATGCACTTCAGTTGCCCAGCATGGACAAATTTTGTGACATGCTAAAGCAGATTGAGCAGGTGTTTGTAATGTCATGAACCAGATCTGTCATTTCTGTCAGTGGTTGTGTGTATATTTTGATGTTGTTAGCTTATTCATAATAAATTGTGTATGTATCTGTGGCACAACTGGATGACCTTGCCTGTCCTCACCAATGTTTTGTCTTTCAGTCAAAGAATTTCTGGAGAAGGCCAAAGAAGATTTTGAAGAGAAATGGAAGAACCCATCAAAGGTACAAGGCAGCAAATTAATTCAGGGAGCATGGCTGTTTGTTATGTGTTTTGCTGTTTTTAGGATGTGCTATTCTTTTCAGCTCCTTTGTGTCTAACCTGATTTGTATCAGCTCTGATAGAGTTTGCTTCCCAGACATTGGTGTGCAAACTTGCCTTGTGTTAGCTGTGATCCAAGTATCACAGTCATGAGGGTAAGTGGCTGTAGTCCTGCTCACATCAAAGGCCTCACAATGTATCAATGCTAATGCCCATTGTAAGAATGAAGATGAGTGTGTTGGACTGGAGGTTGTAGCTTGTGAAACTACTATGTTTTGGCTGCATGCATTGTAATGTGGTGTACAGTGCTGGCTTGCTTTTCCAGAATACGGCGGCCTTGGAAGACTTCGAACTGCTGAAGACGTTAGGTACTGGGTCCTTTGGGCGTGTGATGCTCGTGCAGCACAAAGGCACCAAGGAGTACTACGCCATGAAGATCCTAGACAAACAAAAGGTGAGCCTGGCATTAAAGCTGGATGTCTTCATGTACAAGATGCAGCGCATCAGCTGCAGACACTTTAGTGCACTTGAGAACAGAATGTTGAGTTGGGTTGTGCCTGAATTCAGATGCAAATTGCTGTGCATTTTTCTCCTTGTGGGATGTTACACCTAGTGCGGCATGGCGTGATCGTATGTTTCCAAGGGTTGTGAAATTGGCGGGAGTTTTACAATAACTAAGCAGTACCTGACTTCCAATCACCAGGATCACGCCAGCCACAGCGCTTGCACGCGTAGAATGCCCAGTGAGCGGAGCGCTTCGAATCCTCGTGAATCTGGGCTGTAGGGTTCGTGTTTGGTTGTTAGTTTCAGTGAAGTGTTGTCGATAATATCTGTCAGATTAGAGCAGCTGACGAACTACAAATTCTACGAAACGCTCGTGAGACTGCGTGATTATATTTGCGTAGTCAGATGTTCGTAAAGGTGCCTGTCCATTTACTGGCAACCAATGTAGGTGTCATTTTACACTTTGGTAAATGGCTATCACTTAATGATGCGTAGTTACAGAATGCTCCTGATCACGGCGCGGGACAGATGTAGCACACAAGCATTGGAGACCATATTTTGCTTCTTGTGGTTTCGCTGGCATAACGTCTGAGCATCGAGCAATCACACTAGCGCCTGGAAGCTTACGGTACCCAGAGGAACACCAGAGCTATCTCGTGTCAAACATTAGTACCACCGTCCGGGGACTTACCGTCTTGTTGGTTTGCTGGTGACGCCTGATATATGGGTACTTGCTCCTGACTTCGTCCAGAAATATTGCGTGACGTCAGTGAAGGCCGTCTTTGTCATAGTAGGCGATCAGAGGTCAGTGACGCTCTTGGCTTGCTTCGTAATGCGGCACCGAAATGCGATTAAGGGGATTTCTTCGCAGAGGGTCGATGGCTACGCTCATCGCCCCGGGATATACCATAGGCGCAAGCACGGACCTGGTACGTCAGGTCATCCCTCGTGTACTGTGTGCTTTCCTGTGCACGCAGTATGGTGTCAAGATGACAACACTTTTGTATGGCAGCGCGAGCAGCGAGAGGCTCCATGCCTCACATGCAGATCCACGATTCAGTTCATGTATGCAGTGGTACTACAGGTCATCACAGCTCAGAATCACATGGTTACGCTTACGAGTGAGCTGCTGGCGTTACGTGCCGCATAGATACGATGGTGAAGCAGTGTCTGGAAGTGTCACGTGACCTTTTATGACCTCCACTGGCGACCTGACTTACATGAGTCATGACATGACCAAACAGTTCAAAAGCTGTCGGTGTTGTGATTGGTGACATTGTGGTCAAGTTTCAACCATCAGAGGTCTAGCTTGGGCTGCAGTATGGTGTGACATCTTCCCAGTCTCTGGGTGCAAATGACCTGAGGTCAGTTCTCCCGATGACCTGGGCGCTCGAGAAAGTAGGTATGTTCACAGCTTTTAAAGCGTTGGTGATTTGTGCACACGAACAAGTGCATAGTTGCAATGCAAATTATCCAAACATGTCTGCGTGCAATACGGGGAAAACATTTTTCCACGATTCATGTCAAATGCAATGAAATGTGTACCAACACACGCGTCAAACTCTAAAATTATTCCTCGAGTCGTGCCCTTGAACGGCCACAAATGATTAATCATCACAAATAATTGGTTGCCGATTTGACGATTCTTTTAGCTTGGGCTGACCTGTGGTGGCGTCGGTGGCATTGAGGTCACGAACAGGGCAATTGACCGGGTAGCGAAATGCATAGGTATTGGTTTAATGCTATTTGAAGCAATGAAATGCTGGGTTAAGTCAACGCTGTGTCAAGAGTACCACCCTTGGGAGGCATACAGATCACTGTGCAATGAATACGCTTGACCATCGCGCTATGTGACACTCAGCGATCATCAGGCTACTTGCGGTTGGCCAGCCACTTGGAGCCGTCGTGCGAAGTCCGGTCGTGGGTTGGGCGCAGCTGTCCTGCTTTTGATGACCAAATAACTTTATATTATGCGCAAAAACCTAAGTGGCTAGGTTTCTGCTGAATTTGCATTTTAAACAATGTGTTCTTATCGAAGTGATGCATTTTTACTATTGTATACTTTGTGTTATTGTAATTATAGTGTACAAGTATACAATAATCAATATTTGTATCGTGTGTATTGATCATCGTATACTTAGTTAATGTATACTTAGAGTTTGCCGTATGAAGAGACACATTGGCAAGGTCTGTTAAACAAATGTTCAGGACACCGTTGGTTGAACAGACACAGTTATGCTGGAAATCAATGTTTTTTTTCTAATGGCTGGCGTAGTCCGATGAAATAATTCCATGAAATGGTTTAGAATGGGAATAGCTGGGTTGATAAGGCGGAGCTGTAGAAAATTAGCCTTGCGTTCCAGAGGTGACACACCTTGTCTAGTTGTGTACATTCTTGCAGAGCGAAATTTCGCCGTTAAAGGTGATAATCTTCCGTTATCCACCGTGAATATCAAGTTAAGTATTCTTTCACGCCGCTGTGCAATTACATGTCCATTGCATTGGGGATCATGCCATGCCATTGGACGACACGCATTGTTGCTCGTGTTTAACCAAACCTATCATATTTGGGCTTTGCGCTGTGTGCTGTAAGAAAAACATTGATGTTAGTCTAACGAACATACGGCGTGTCAACAGGGGCAAATTTACCATCCAATCGTGGCAGGTCGAAGCTGAATTTGTTTCTCCATCGTATGGCACAGCTAGGAAAATAATGTTATTTTTTGCCGTCATTGGAGAAGCCAAGGGACTTCCCCACCCGGTAGGACAATAATGCTATTTTTACCGTCATTGAAAAGGCTAATGGGCCCACCCCCACCCCCACCCGCTCCGGCCCGCCTGCCACTGCACAGTAATGCAAAGTTCCCCTCCTCTGCTGACTGCTGGTGGTCTTTTGAAGCCGGCGCGAGCCAACCCGTGGGCGAAATGCCGACCGTCTGCTACATGCGCCAGCGATTTGGACGCTGCGCAGTTATCAGTTGCAATCGGAGTTTGGGTGCTCCCCACGTGGTGCTCTGGACGCAAATTATGGAGGGTGTCGAGTGAGCCGCAATGCCGGGTGCGAAACGACGTGGTGGCGGCCATCCACCCTGGCCCCGGCCTCATTTGGTGGGCGGCGGGGGAGTTTTGTGGGTGGGGCCGGCCGTCTACCGGCCACTCTGACCGACGGGTGTCTGGCGGGGGTGTGGCGGTCGCCGCTGCCTCCGATACAGGGTAGCGGGCGCGGCGCCGTGCAGGGGAGCCGCCCCCACGGTCGGTGCTGGTGGCCATCACGGCCGGTGCCGACTCCGGTGTTGCCGACGCCGGACCAGCCGGATCAATACACGGGCGCGCCGTCCGTTCAATTCGGGGAAGCCCGAGAGCACGCGGCTCGGCCGGCGTCGCCGCGAGCTCGCCCGCCCGCCACCGGCCGGGTGTGAACGAAACGGAGCCGCCAACCAGCCCATCGGACTCGGGAGCGGCCGGGATCCCAGACCGAGCTGGGCAGCCGCCAGACGATCGGCGGGCGGCGACTTGTTGCCCCCGACCGCACTCCGTGGCGGCGGGGTGTCGCCTGCCGCTCCGCAGCCCGCAGCTCCGACCAGCCCGCCGTGCAGTGAAAAGCGAGGGGGGGGGATGGGCGTGGCGGAGCCGGGCCACTGGCCGCGCACGAGCCACCGGGCGTCATCGGGCGCTGCCGCCTGGAGACAGCCGTCACGGCCCAATCGATACGCCGGCGACGGGCCGCCGGCCAATACCGGCTCCGGTGTCGACCCGGCATCCGGGAGCGTGCGCCGGCGGTGGGCCGCTCCGTTTACCGCGGCGTCCCGGCTGGCTCGGCGCTCGCCCCGAGCCGGCGGCACTCGAGGCCGCCGGAGACGGCAGCCGAGCGGCCGACTTCAGGCCGAGAGCAAAAACAGACCGGCTGACCCAGTTCCCCGGCAACGGAGGATAGGTCTGCGGAAATGGACGCATTTCGTTGTCCTTTTGCGGTTTATGCTTCGTTGAGCATGTGTACAGAAGTTGCCTTATTTATTTATTTCCCAGCGCACGTTTCAGACCCTCGTCGTCTCTAATAATTTGTTGCGAAAGTTATCACCAATGTTTTAGTGTCCAAAAATTGTTTTTGTTGAAGAAACGCATATGCTATGCTATGCTCAGTCTTGGCCAAACCTATGATAAGCCGTGCACTATACTTCAGCACTTGATGCGGTGCTGCCGTCTACCCGTACGGAAGTTTTCACTTAGAGCTGAGTGGTTGATTACTCCACGCTTGCGAGCAACTCGTGGCATACCACACCTTGGACATAAACTAAAGTGACGTTGGTTACGTTTCCTTACGTTCGGTCCCGACCCGGTCCGGTCCGGTCCGCCAGGCCAGGCCAGGCCAGGCCAGGCCAGGTGGCGTGCTCTCGGGGCGGGCCGGCGGCGGTCGGACATGCCTGACCGCTCTGCGCCCCTGTAGGTGGATGCCAATCTGGGCCGTTTTCGAGCGGACCTCGTCCCGAGCGGCACACAATCTGGCCGCTTTTTCTCGGCGCTGCGCCGACTGGCGCCGCCCGGTGCGGCGGGCGGTGTCTTTGGGCGGCGCCAGCCTCCGTTGAGGAAGGACTCGTGCGTGAATAACGCGGGGAGCTGATACCGACGCGGCCACGGCGGCTGGCAAACATATGTTGGTCGGCCGTTAAGCATGTGCAGAATCATCATGCTGCTGTTTACTCTTAAACGTGCTTCCGCGCGTTTTAAATAGCGGCCGCCCGTGTAAGTGGAATAACGCGAGGTTTTATCTGATCTATATGGGCCAGCGTTTCCAGATGCCGCGTGTTATGACTGAGCTCACCGTGCGCCGGCGTGTTGATGCGCTCATGTGTGCCGATGATGTTATCCAATCATCACCTGTCTGCCAGATGGTCGCCGCCCCGTTAAAAATAGCCATCCGGTCCGTGGCAAATATTGGCCATGAGCGCTGGTGGGCGGAGGAGGCGCCGTGACCAGCCCCGGCTGACGATCGTGCCGGGGGTGGGGGGGATATGCGCACTGACTTAGGCTGGGTCGGCCGACTGGCCGGTAACTGGATGATCGGATGGGTCGCCCAGTGTCACCAGATGCCGAATGGGGAAAATTGCGTTCTGCACACACAGGTCCGGCACTTAGTAGTCCAAGGACGCCAGACCATATGACCATCGCCACTTTATCTCGCTAGGATGTGGTTACACAACGTCTGGGTAGCACGAAGGGGTACGCAAGGTCTGTGGAAGCTGTGGAATGCACAAAGGGCAGGGATGGCTCCGTCAGATTTCAATGAAACCTGGCTTGCTCACCCTTGCATCGTCGACTGCCCAGGTAGCTTGCGTTCATGTGTTGTGGGTTCGAAGTTTTTTAAGTTTTTGGTTGCCTCGGAGGCGTGCCGTGTCGGTGGCAGCGCGCTGTGCGGCCGTGTGCCGTGGTCGCCAGCTGGGCCGTGACGCCGGGAGAGCCCGCTCACAGCTGTGGCGTGTCGGTGTCGGTGAGCGGCGCGGCCGCTCGTCTCCGGGGCCGGCCGTAACAGGTCGGCGCGGGCGCGAGACGCCGCGCTACCCCGCCATTACGGTATCCCATCCATTTGAAGCGGCGGCGCCGGCGGCGTCTGCTGGCCGGGGCGGGGGCGGCGCCGCCGGTCCGGCGGCGGTGGCTGGCCTTGACAGGCCGTTCGACGGCCGCCCCCGGAGTCAGCCAGCCCCGTCCGGGCCCGGCCGGTCTCCGGCGGTGCCTCATCCCAGCCGCGCACCGCTCTCTCGGTGGCAATCACTGACAGCATGTGACATTGTCGGGAGTTGGGCGGGGCGGCCCGCGCGTTCCGTCCATATGAGGGCGTGTGGTTGGGAGCGATCTGCGGCCGCGGACCCGGCCGTGCGGGTTTGTCGCGCCGTCTCGCCGCAGTCGGCGTGTTCCCATGACCTTGGACCGTGGCGCCGGGAGGATTAGGGAGGCGCCCGGGCCGTGTCGCCGCCCGCCGCCCTTCACAGCTCCAGCGACCCGGCCGCCGGCGGCCGTGACCCGGCGCCGCCCGCGCTCGCACTCGCCGCTAACGCGACGCCGCTGATTGCAGGTGGTGCGGTTGAAACAAGTGGAGCATACTCTCAACGAGAAGAGGATCCTCCAGGCCATCAACTTCCCGTTCCTTGTTAGTCTGCAGTACCATTTTAAGGTGAGCTGGTTGCCATGCCGGTCGCTGTTCAACAGCTCGCGTCCGGTGCGCTGTGGTTAAATCAAGCCGCGTTTAGTACGATATAGGTCGGCATAGCTGACTCAGGTGCGCCGAACGCCCCTGACTCATGGCTGTACTCCGCCGACATTTGGGCGTCCGTCGGTACAGCCACGAACGGCCTGCAGAAGTTCACGAACGCAGCCGTTCTCTGGACCTGTAACGGACCGGCGTTCTCCACGCTGAACTGGCCGTGCGAATCAGGACTGTTTACTGTTTTATCGGGCGTGACTGTTTGTTGAAGTCCTTGATGTATATTTGTGCCGGCCGTATCAGCAGTATAATGTGTTGCCGGTTTCCTTGATCATCGAGTGTGTGCACGAGTAAACCCTCGATATGGACGGCCGCTGTCGCCACATGGGAGGGTGGCGCGCATCCTTCACTATCCCCGGTGTCGTTCACACGCCGCGCGCTCCAGTGGGGGAGTGAGAGGGCGATCAGCCGGCCGCATGACATGGACAGTGACCGCTCGAGGCTGTTGTTAGCCGCGCGTGCTTGGGTGGGGGCACCAGCAGTGACGATGCGGGCCGTCGGCAGGCCATGGCAGGTCGCCCGCGCCGCTCCACGCTCCCTGTTCCGTACATGCGGTCATATTTGGGCATGGGCCAGCGCTCCTCTCGGACGTAGCCGTTGCTCACCCCTGCCATGCTGGGACGTGCGGCCCACCCATGCATTGCATGCTTAGGCCGTCTGCGTTCCGACCCCTGGAACATATTTGGTAGCAATGTGCCGGTTCCGCTTTGTTTAGGGTCGTTGCTGACTTCATCGGCCTCGGAAACACCCCAAATTGTATTGGGTGATTGATTGTGAATGAATTGTGTGACACACATTTTCCCAGGTAATTACTTCTGCGCGGACTTGCCATCGGGTAACTGGCTTCAGTACTAACATGTTTTCACATCCATCATCATATTGCTGCGTTAAAACACTGAGAAGGGGGGGGGGGGCAAAGTCAACATCATGCATCCCTGACGCGGTTCATCGTAAGCTATCAACGAAAAACAGTAAGTTGTGAATCCCTCTTTCTGGCTGGATTCCTCAAGCACCCATTTCAAAATGTAATGGCCCGCTACCCCCCAGCCGCCGCCCCTCCCCACCAGGGGCTTGCGGCTGGCAAGGACGCTACAGCCTGATAAAACCACAAGGGTGCACGGGGATCTTTTCCCCAAGCCCCACATTTCTCAGCAAATCTTTGATACGTTTTCACACGCGCTCGGGTGGGGGGGTCAAATTGAATCCCTCCGAGGGTTTTCCGGGATTGCTTCCAAACGGCGCGGCGTAGCCGCGCCAAGTTTTGTCAGTTGTAGACAATTAGATAGTGGATCGTCTGACATAAAAATTTAGATGCGCCTTATAACGTCGCTGACCTAGGATAGGTCAAAGTGAGGCCATGGTTTCAGCAAAGACAATTTCTAGGGAATCGTTCAATCTGATCCAACAACGGGGTGTTAGAGGAAGCCATACATATCGGAGATGCTTTCTTAGGCGACATAGCAATTGAATGGACAAATAACGTTGACCTAGGGTCAGGTGTGAAGGTCAGACCAAGGTCAAAGTCAACCTGTGTTATTACCCTAGGACTTGCTCTATGGGCTAGTTCCTGGCGCCCATGCTTAGAGCAGTTGTGTAGGTTCTAGGGGCTTTTTAGACCCAAATCTGGAATTTGACCTTATTTGACCTGAAGTCCATGACCAAGAAACCTCAAACTTTGACCTAAGTGAGTTCACATACAGCTCAACACACCCTGTGAATTTGGTGTCTAGCTCTCTTAGTTCCTGAGATCTTGGGGGGGGGGGGCAAAATGCCCCCCACCCGAGCGAAGGGTATCCAACCGACCACCCGGGCGCGTGTTTAATACCAAGTGTAGAACAAATGTAGCAGTGCAATACCAGCCTTCCAGCTGTCGTTCGGCAGTGCCTGCGTGGCGCAATCGTGCCCATCTCGCAGCCGACGCCGCCCTCCCACCCTCTCCTCACCCGCCAACCGGCCGTTCTAGGACAACTGCAGCCTTTTCCTGAACCTGGATTACATAAACGGCGGCGAGATGTTCTCGCACCTGCGACGCATGGGACGGTTTAGGTAACGTGGCGCTGCCGCCGCCGCTGTAGCAGTAGCTAGCCGCCAGGCCAGTAGTCGCTCGCGGGCCGCCGCCGCCGCCGCCGCCGCCGCGTGAACGCCGCCGTGCCCGCTGTTCGCAGGACTGCTCGAACCTGTACATCGTCATGGGGTTGGTGCGCGGCGGCGACATGTTCGGCCCGCTCCGGCGGCGGTTCGCGGCGGTGCGGCGCGGCTTCACGTAAGCGCCCGGCCGAGCTGCCGCCCTCGTTCGCTCCGCCCGCGGCCGCCGCCTCCGTCGCTCCGCTGACCCGTGTCTCGTCTGTTGCAGGATAACTCGAATTTGTACATGGTTTTAGAATATGTGCCCGGGGGCGAGATGTTCTCGCACCTGCGGAAAAGTGGCCGGTTTAGGTAAGAGTCGTGCGCAGGATGCTCGTTGGTGGTGGCGCACGTCGTCCCGGTAGCGGCCGGTCGGCCGGGCCGCCTGTTGCATGCAGCTGCTGGTGGCGGTGACGCATGTGCGGTGGGTCCGGTGGCGGTCGCCTGGTGCTCCGTCACATCGCTGCATGCTCCGACGCCGCGACCGGTGAGGCCCCGCGCCCCGGCTGTCCGGCAGGCGCAGGCCAGTCCTGAAATGGGCTCAGGCACGGGCGCGCATCAGGTGCTGATCTGGTTTGCAGCTGTCGTTGACCCCGTTCCTCTGCTGTCCGGCATATGATGTGTCGTCGTCGGTTCTTCCATTGGGCTGGGGTGTAGACCTGCATGAGTTCGTATCTTGTGCCCGTTTTAGATGCCAGTCGTGCGTCTCCCATGTAATTCCGCGAGCGTTTTCGCAATTGAATCCTCTGGGCTTGTGTCATGTTCATAGTTGCGTAGTTGGGTGTGTTTGTACGCGTTAGCACCTTGTGTTCACGGCACGGTGGCGGGTTCTTTATGCCAGGACGCCCGGCCCGATGCACAGTAAGATATGCACTGTCACGCCACGCTGCATGCATGCCACTTACGCGGTGTATGTTGACGGTGCCGAAACTGGACGGTATTTTTACGCGTCATGTCACCTGCGGCTGGTAAACGGCAGGGACTTGCGGCGTCACTTAGCACCATATTGCGCAATCAGCAGGTCGCGTGTCGTTCTCATGAGGGGCCGCTCCAGCTTGTAACCCGCCGTCCGGCCTGGTCCGCGGGGGCCGTGTGCGGCGGTGCTGGTCGGCGCCACCGCCGCCACCGCCGCCACCGCCGCCGCTGCCGCTGTGCAGTGCCCTGCCCGGCGCCGCTGTAGTGGGCCCCGCCACCTTCCGGCCGGCTGGCTGGCGCCGCGCTTCTTTCGGCCGCCCGCCCCGCTGGCGGCCGTGTCTGTTGCCGCCGCCCGGCGCCGGCCCGCTCCGGCGAGGCGCGCGCTCATTGCCGCACCGCGGCCGGAATGCTAATGGGCGGCGGCCGGCCTGACCGGAACGGTCCGGCGCGGCGCGGCTGTCTTGGAACTGGCTACCGATCGGCCGGCGCGCACCCGTGCCGGCCGGGCGCCGCGAGGCGCCGGTAATCCCGGCCCGATATGCTCGCTCTGTCGGCGCCGGTGCGGTCGCGCCGCGGTCGGCTGGCCGGCTGGCTGGCTGGCTGGCTGGCTGGCTGGCTGGCTGGCTGGCTGGCTGGCTGGCTGGCTGGCTGGCTGGCTGGCTGGCTGGCTGGCTGGCTGGCTGGCTGGCTGGCTGGCTGACTGACTGACTGACTTGCTGACTGACTGACGGCACTGTGTGGCCGACAGCGAGCCGCACTCGAGGTTCTACGCGGCGCAGATCGTGCTGTCCTTCGAGTACCTGCACTACCTGGACCTGATCTACCGCGACCTGAAGCCCGAGAACCTGCTCATTGACAACCAGGGCTACATCAAGGTATGGGGAGGACCGCCTGCTAGGCTGGACGGCATTGTCGGTCAGGGTGGAGCAACAGCTCATTCAGAATCTCATTCGGGTACTGGCTGAAGGCTGTGTTGGTGTATTGCTCATGGACGGGTACCGGCCTCTAATGGGTATGAGGAAGTATGGTGGCCGCACCTCCGTACCAAGATTGCCTGTTCTTGAAGTTAGCGCGTTTCGAAGCGTGGTTTACGGAACCACGTACCGCTTCCCCGTACCGAATGGGCAAGCTTCTTCGTAACAAGCTTCCAGAAGCAAGGCGTCTGATTGCATTGTCCACTGTAGCGGAGCTTCCGTCCTGGCGTGGTCGGCGCCACAGATCTGGTTTTGTCGGCGTCCTCCCAGCTCTGGATGCGGCCATGGAGCCGGCCAGCGGGCCGCCGGCGGCCTGGCCTCGTTTGCCGAGCCGGCCAGACATCCGACCAATGCTGTCTAACAGGTTGTCCTATCGGCCAGCATCTGGCAGCCCGTATATGGCGCGGGCGGCGATTAAAACGCTGCGTGCGCGTGAAGCCGGAGCCTCGACAGCTTCCTATAGCGCCGTCCACAGTCCGCGGACGGCGACGGCGGAAGGTTCCGCGCCTCCTGTCGTCGCCGTCTGCGGCGACGGCTTCACCGGCGGTCGGTTACGTCGCCGGAGCCTCTCCACTGTTGGCGTCCGCCGCCCGGACCGCCTCAGATTGCGGGGAGCTGCCGTCTGGAGCGCTGTTCCATCGGCTACCGGCCGCGTCAGCTCCCGGGCCGCTTTAATGTGCACGGCGCCGTGTAATGCCATCCGGGCCGGGCATTGAAGCGCTTTATCTGGGATTTCACACCCGACCGGGACGGCTGTTTGGCTGCGTGACGCAGTCCGTTATCGCGGGCGGCGCTATCTGAGAGGCGCGCGGCCGGTGTGCGCGGCGGCTCGGCGCCTGGTGCACACATGGCTCCGGGTGCCGACTTTAAAAGGCAGGCGTCACCTTGGCGTGCTAGGCCGGCACGCTGATACTCATCAAAAAGAATGCCCACGTAACATTCGCGGTCTTGCAGCTCCCACGCCGCTTCTGGTCACATGATGCATGCCCGTAGCTCGTGGTGGATTGCCCTGGTGGAAGGCAAGCTACTTGGGGAATGCAAAAAGTGGGAAATGCCTTAAATTTCGATGACGCATATCGGACGTAAAGGAGTTTAATGTAGTCGGCTGTTTTAGTCCAAACCGCATATTTAGGACTCCGTACAATCCGACAGTAAGCGGCTTGACTGACTTGCCCCAACGCCTTGGTTTGCTGTCCGCTGCGCCAACTCCCTGGTCTGTGTGTCGAGCTTAGCTGGCGGTGGTCGTCAGGCCCAGCGGCTACAGTCTGTGTTTACATACGTTTTTTGTTTGCGATGCGTTAACGCGGCAGGATCGTGCTATATCGCAAGTTTCATGACTGCTACTGAAAGTACAAATTCACCACGTGGTTTATGGCGCAACCTCACAGGATGTACCCATGGCAAGCGCTGAGAGCCCGATGATGACATTTTAGGAACGACGTTTTCAAAACGTGCCTCGCGGAGACCAGTTTCCTCCGCTGTCTCGGAACCACAAAACATTATTTTCTCGCGGCGACATTGGTGAAATAGCTGACGACTACAGATATGTCGTCAGGGTCTCAAAACTGTTACCAAGGCAAAAACGGTGTCCTCCACACCTTGCCTTTCCAAGGCCAGCCGGTCCGCAGACACCCCGTCCAGCGTGCTCATTCGTGATCGCAGCTCGTCCGGAGCGTCATTTCACCTCATGACGGCGAGTGGCCGGGCCGGCCCCCGCCCCAGGCGGGTCGTGCCGGCACGCGGCCTCCTCCGGGCCGGCCCTGTCATACGCCGTTTGTTTTCATCTGGCGGCGGCGGCGACTCGTGGCCGCGCCATCGAACGCCGATGGACCCAGATCATGTGCAGCCACATCGCGTCCGCGCCCTGCTCGCGCGCCACGTGGAGCCGGTACTTTCACCTCGACTCGGGTCGAGCCGGCAGCGCGCCGCCGCCGGTGTGCAGACTGTAAACAAAAGGCGCCCGGCGTCCTCTGCCAACGTCTGGGGCGGTGGCGAAGGCTGCCCCCGTTCTTGTACCGGCCGCGGCTCAACGTTCTCTGCCAACGCCTGGGGCGGTGGCGAATGCTGCCCCTGTTTTGGTACCGGCCGCGGCCCAACGTCCTCTGCCAACGTCTGGGGCGCTGGCGAAGGCTGCCCTGCCTTGCACCGACTACGACTCAACGTCCTCTGCCAACGCCTGGGGCGATGGCGAAGGGTGCCCTACCTTGCACCGACCAAGGCTCAGCGCCCTCTGCGGGCGCCTCCGGTGGTGGGAGAGGCTACCCCTGCCCTGCACCGGTCACGGCTCAGCGCCCTGTGTGGGCGCCTCCGGCGATGGGAGAGGCTATCCCGCTGTGTACCGGCCGCCTTCCAGGGCGTGTTGCAGAGTCTGTGTCGTGGGGCGTGGGACCGGCTGCGCAGGGATCGATAATCTGATCGCCGTAGATGGTGTCGTGCTAACGCTGGCGACGCGTCTGGAACTGTTCGTCGTGATGATCTGAGCTCCCGATTGCCCTCGAACGTCAGTGTTTTTCTCTGAGATAGCGCCGGCCAGTCAGCAAGCGGTCGCCAAAAACAGCTGTGCAAGCTCGGCCAGAGGAACCCGCGTTCCATCCCTCGTCAGGAGAAAAACAGGACGCGCGCATCAGCAGCGATTCACGCCGGCCGCCAGCCACGGGCCGGTCACAATCGGCGAGTCACAGCGGCCGCCGTATTGCCAGTCACGTCTGAGCCGGCCGTGCATCTGCTGCCCGGCGGTGCTGACGGCTCGCTACGGCGCCGATCGGCACGGTCCGGGCATTGTTCAGGCCGTTCCGGGAAATCGGCGGCGATTGGAGGCGGCGGCCGGTACCGGGCGGAATGCGTCCTCGCCGGCATTCGGCGGTGGCCCTGTCAGCCTTGCAATACTTTCCGTGTTTACCCGGCGTGGATTGCGCTTATTTATGAGGACAGGTAACGGAAGATTGCTGTCAGCGTCCAGTGCCTTGTCCTGTCCGTTGGTGCACAATTTTCGAAGTCTCGTCTCAGGCACATTTGTTAAAGTTAGCCACGCCGAGTCCGCCGAGATTTAAAAAATCTGTTCCAAATCGGATATCTGACAGGCATTTTATCCATAGACTGCAGTGTAATCTTTCGACAAGGCTTAGCTGGAGGTTATGGCGACGCATAGTATGTCATAGCGAGGCTGGGAGGGGAGGGGGGCGACCTGAGACCCGACCCAGCGGTGACCAGCTATCCCGCGCTGGCTGGCCTGCCGATATTGTCGCGCAGCCCATGTAGAAAAGTGTTCGGTGCTGTCCGGCTGCGGTCGGACTCCATCCATAAATCGCGGCTGGCTCGTTTGGTGTCTTCTTTTCAAACGCAACGTGATGGAGCCGAAGCTGCGAAGATCAGCCCTGAAAGAGTCATTTACCCCTCCTCATGAAATCCTTTTGGGAAATGAAAATACATGGAAAATGAGAAATAAAAAATGGCATGCATTGGGCAGCTATTTTTGCCATTTTAATGTTATCTACTAAGCCCTAAAAATGTGATATATCGAGCATTTCTGGCGCTTTTTGGTCAAGGATGAGATAAAAGTGTGTTCAAACGAACCCCAAAGTGCAATGTTATACCTGTTTTGTGGGTCTAACACAGTGTTGCGTTTTTTCCTGTGTGCTCAGTTACATGCGGATGGCGTTCATACGTGGCCATGTGGGTCTTAGTGCCGCGGGCCGTCTGGACCGCCTCGCCGGCCGCGGTCCAGGCCACGCTCGGCGTCCCCCGCCGCCGTCGTGCTCGACGCCGCCGGCTGATCGGCGGCCGCCCGCTGCCGCAGGTGACCGACTTCGGGTTCGCCAAGCGGGTGAAGGGCCGGACATGGACGCTGTGCGGCACGCCCGAGTACCTGGCGCCCGAGATCATCCTGAGCAAGGTACGACCGGCGCCCGCGCCCTGCGACAGGGGGAGGTGGCCGCCGCGGCTGTGACGGTCGGCGGCAGTTGACCGCTGTCGTGATGTTCGCAGGGCTACAACAAGGCGGTCGACTGGTGGGCGATGGGGGTGCTCATCTACGAGATGGCGGCCGGATATCCGCCGTTCTTCGCCGACCAGCCGATCCAGATCTACGAGAGGATCGTCTCCGGCAAGGTAAGCCGCCTGCCGCGCCGCACGTGGGCGATGCGGCGGAACGGCGGCATCGCCCCAACCCTTGGAGGGGGGTTGGGGTCGTGGCTGCGGCCGTGGTCACGTGGCGTGGGCTCTGGCTGGTGTCAACTATCGACTGGTGTAGCTGCTGTCACGGGCGTCTCGTCTCTCGCCGCGGTCATCGGGCGTCAGCTAGGACACTGCTGCGAGCCAAACACAACAGTAAGGTCGTGAAGTGACACCACGATGCGGGACGGCTGATCTTCTCACACCCGCTGCTGACGGGGCGGGGTGTCCCCCACTTTGCAGCGCTGCTAGGGCGGACGGCACCGTGGTTCGGGCTGCGTGTTGGGTCTTGGCGGCGTGATTGGATCATGAGTTCTTAGCATGGACCACAGGATAAGAGGAGGCGCTGGCTCAGCGATGATATCAGGCAATCATTGGGTCGTGTTATGAAATATCCCACGTTTCCAGCATGTGAACTCGTAATGCCTAAAACGGGGGGCTTAACGCCTTTCTCTCTTTATTTGAACGGGCTTTGCAGTGGGGTGTTGGCGCGTTTAGTTGTTGTCTCGCCCACTTGGTGACGTTGCCAAGATTTATGATTCCTTTTTAGGCACGCTGTATTTTAAGTGTTGAGTAAGTGGCAACGACGGGAGAACATTCCAGTGATGGACGTGTGTAATAGGCCGGCTGAGCGGGCGGGTGTCAAGGTTTCTAGACCACCAACGGCGCTTTTTGCGCGTGTCGCTAAGTGGAGTGGCGACGTGCTGTTTAGGATTCCAGTGGTGCTGTATGTAAACAGTCCAGCGATGCTGCCTTCTGCGCCAGCGTGATGCGTTGAGGCGGATCTGGCCTGCGCTGTGGCCGGCACCGTAGACAGCATGTGTGGTGAGAGCCGGTCGGCCGCTGGTGGCGGCTCAGTATCGGGATCCGGAGAGGCCTCGCCGACTCGCCGGGCGTGCCGGCCGTCGCGGATCACGCGCCAGTCGTCACGGATCACGCGCCGGCCGTGAGCAGCGCTCAGCGGTGGCCGGCCGCCGGCTGGCCCGCGCGCGCGCGGGCGCACAGGCCGGCCTGTTTGTTGACTTTGCGGCGCACTCCGGCCGCGGTGCTGGCGGCCGTTGACCCCTCCGGAGGCGGGCGGGCCGGCCGCCATGGTCTCGGTCAGGTGCCGGACAGGAGCCCGCCGCACGCTCAAACAGATGGCGGAGAGGGGTCCGCCGCACGCGAGGCACGGCCGGATATTAGCCCGTCAGCGCCCGGTGCTTTCGTCAGCGGGTGCGACGGGGGCGCGACGTGCAGCTGCTGCAGCGTGGCTTCTGAGTCCGCCTGTGGCTGTGACAGCGCCTGGTGTCCGGCGGGGCGGAGCGGTGGAGTCCGGGACCACCGGCCGGCGTCCGCCCGTGGGGCTGCACGGGAGCAGAGGCCGCTCTGGCGCGAGCCGCCGCTCGTTCACGCCGCACCATGCGCAACCATCGGTGGCGGGGTAGTCTCCAGTTGTTGGCAGGCAGTGCTAGCAGCTGCCGTGCAGAGGACAGCATCGCCTGTGGCGCCTGTCCCGAGAACATGAGGGCGTTTGTTTATTTTACCGCTCTGCACCATACACACACAACGCGGCTATTCTTAGCCGGGCGTCAAGCGGTACCGATCAGTATGCGCATGAGGTGAGCAGTGAGCGTGCTTGCTGTGCTCGATCGGTGCGACTTCACACAGCAGCCGGCTGTCCACAGGTGCGGTACCCGTCTCACTTCAGCTCGGACCTGAAGGACCTGCTGCGAAACCTCCTGCAGGTCGACCTCACCAAGCGCTACGGCAACCTCAAGAACGGCGTCAACGACATCAAGGGCCACAAGTGGTTCCACTCCACCGACTGGATCGCCGTCTACCAGAAGAAGGTGACGTGTCCCGCCGTGCACTGAGTCGTGATTGCGCTGGGAGTCGTTACCCAGCTTGTAATCGGCACCTCATTGTCAGAATGTTCCCGCGGTCGACCGCAGGTTTCGAAGAATGCAGGCACGTCATGTGTGATTTGTAACATTAGTGGTTGCTGTTGCTTGGTATGTGTCTGCGCGTTGCCGTCCTTTTGGAATACGTGAACCTCTGGCGACAGGGTGACAGGCGCTAGTGACGCGTGATATGCCCAAACTACGTGTCCGAATAATATGGACGTGAAATTGCAACCCGCGGCAAGGGATGTGTCACGGGTAAAACTCCGTCTTCAGAGGTATCTCCCGTGCGGCGTCGCTGGAAATTAAAATGAAATGAAAGCAAGTGTTGAAATGAAATGAGTGGCATAAAGTAAATCGGATTGAGATCAACTGGAAATGAAAGAATTGAAATGCATTGAAGAATGATGGGAGCAAAATTATTGCGCAGTACATGTGACAATCGAGGGGTGGAACCCACATATTTGCTGCTTGAAAAGATCGGGATTGCTCCAATTATGTTGCATGCAGGAATGGAATGTGCAGTTTGCTGCTATACCACTTTGGGCTCCTAGCCCAAAGTGCCGGCGTGAACTGCTTCCAGTTGCAACTGACACAAATCGCAGAAGAAATTTATGGCTTGCTCGTCCCTGTCCGCTGCTGATTTCCTCTCGCTGTCTGGTTCTGTGCATCTGCTGGCAGTGACGACATCCTTTCTCTTTTTTTCTCCTTCCTCGCGACCTGTGCTTAAGCTTTGTACGCGTACAATGAGTTCCACTGTTCCATTGCCACCGGTGCTACCACTCTGTGTTCAGTACCCAAGTTGTTTTTAGTAACCGGTAACTGAATGGAAACATTACCGTGACATTTGTAGTGCAACTTAAGCCAACATTGTGTGTAGTGGTGCTGTGTCGCGACTTGGCGAGGCTTCTGCAACCACACGTGACGGTGGTCTCGCCGGCTCCGCAGATCGAGGCGCCGTTCGTGCCCAAGTGCAAGGGCGGAGGCGACACCAGCAACTTCGACGACTACGAGGAGGAGAGGTTGCACGTGTCGTCCACGGAAAAATGTGCCAAGGAGTTCGCCGACTTCTAGCGGTGCCGCGCAGCCGAAGCCAAGTGCCGCATGTTGGCCGGATGCGCGCGCGCCGCCAGAAGCGCTCAGTCAGTCAGCGGTGGCACGCGCCCGGCGCCGGACGCCCCGACCCGACCCGAGCCGCCGGCCGCGCCGCTCACCGAGTGCTATGCTATTTTATGTATAATTACCGGGTTTTATATCAGTGGGCGCGCGACGGACCTGCCCGGGGCGGGCCAAGCGGACGTGAGTGCGCCCCGCCGGAGAAGACGCCGTGGTGCGTGCGGTGGTGTCGCCGCGGGCAGGTGGCGCCAGCGCTGCCGGCGATGCCACAGAAACGTTGTACAAACCCAGCAGCTGACCCTCGACTCATCAGATTATTTCCATGTGATAACAGGAGCACGTGTTGACGCTGCCATATGCCGCCCGTCGTTTTAACCCCACATGCACTGTTAGGTGCCCGCCAGATCTCCTCACTGGCGGTGGTTCCCACCACCGGCCGCTGGTGCCGCGCGCTGCTAACGCCGCCGACCGCCGGACGCGCCGCGCCGACAGCCGAGCGCCGTGAAGCTAGACCGCGCTCAGTTACCTCCCTCCGCTGGCGGGCTATGACCGCTGCCGCGCACCCGTGTTTGCGAGGCGTACGTAGGGGCAACGCGGCCGGTGTAGGGCCGCGTTTGGCTGCGGGTGTGGCGCCCCGGCCGTGGCCGACTCGAATGGCGCGTGGCCCTCTGCGTGACTGGGCGAGGAGCGCGGCGCGTGTCGGTCCGCGTGACGCCACCGTGGCGTCCGCCGTGCCCGCTCATCCCCCTCTCTCGATGGCTGTGTGTTCTCGATGAGCGGGTACCATATCGCGGCGGGCGGACACGCGCGTGCGCGCCTGCCGGTGGCGCCACCCCAGCCGCCCAGCTACCGACCGCTGATGCATTGTCTGTCTGTGCCCTTGCGGACATATGGAAGTGTGTGTGTTTGTTCGTCAGTGTTAATTGTTTGTAGTTACAGGCTGCGTTCATATTTTGTGATTTGTAGTTGGAGATTTTCATTAATACATTCAGGTATATCGATAATCGCTATCCAGATAACGTGTCCCTTATTTGCACCGGACTGTTCGCGGATGCTTTGATCATGAACAAAGGTCAAGATATGATATGCGGCAGTGGCGCTGCCGCTTCGATATCGTCGAAAGTAGCAGTCATGTTCTTCCACACGGTAGCGCGGCTCTTCAGCAATTTCCACGATGTACCGCACGAGCTTTTATCGACACCAAGCCGTGTTACTGACAATCCATCCTCAGTCTCGGGTATCGGTGCCGCGTGGTCCCCAATATCCGGTGGTCTTGTGAAGGGGCGGGCTTTACCAGATGAATAGTGACGGAAGGAAGCGCGCAGCCGGAATGTTAAGCGGGGGAGGGCGGTACCGTCGATGTTCTTATGCCCTGATTTGGATTCAGAATTGCATGTGAGTGTGTCATTTGACATGGCAAAATGGCATCTCGGGTGTCTCACTTATGCGAGACACCCGAAATAGGGGAGGGAGGGGGGTCGTCTCCCGGCCCATCCTTGGTTGCGGCTCTGGTTGCGGGGCGAAGCCAGGAAGCCATTGTTTCAATGCGCTAGCTCGGAGTGTAAATGTGCCTGGATGACTGGATCCCTTTGCCAGACGTCTAGGTGAAACAACTATACGCTGCGCTCTGACTCTGACTGGCTTACGTTCTCTGTCCCGACCATGGCACGACCGATCGGGTCGAGGGAGCGCCGCCATGTTGCGAACGCCCCTAGCAGTCTCGCAATTAGTCGATGTTCTCTGCCTTGGTATTCACTACTCCTCAATCATGAACCGGAAGCGTCGCGAGCTGAATGAAAAATAGCATCAAGTGTGTTCACGGAACGGTTGCACCAGCAATAAACCTATGGGTATAGCCTCTTAACACAATTTGTGGGGGAGAGCTGAGTTGCGAGAAGTGGCAAATCCATCACAAAATACGTTAATAAATGCATTTTCTCTGAATCTGAACCATTTCATTTTCAAAGCTGTGACTCGTTGCTGAGCAGTTGCCGAGGGGCAGGAGTAGCGCAATGTAACTAATGCGTAATCAGGAGGGATTGCAAATGTTTAAATCCGAAACAAAATTGGCAGACGTTTCCTATGTCGTATGTAGGAGACTTGGGAAATGCGGGTTTAATGCTGCGATGACTGCGCGCTTGCCCATGTAGTGAACTGAAACTAAGAATGGAGATGGTGAATTGTAAAAGAGCGATTTATGTAAGCCACCCATGCCTTTGCTATCTATTGTTTTCTCCTTGAAAATTAGTTGGAGGACCGTGCGAATTATTTGTGACACGGTCCCATTCCCAACACGAGCAAAGTGCCTTTTTCAGACTTCTTGCAGGTTGGCTGGTACATCTCTGGCGCATTTCTGACGTTCTCGCCGCTAGTATGGAGGCCTTGGTATGAAGTCATTCGCGTTCGAGTACTGCTGAAGCCAACACGTTCCGGCCGTCTGGGGTGGCGCGTGTTGGTGTCTGGATAAGTGTAGAGCATTTTTGACAGGCCATACGAACGGTGGAAGCGAGTTCTGTGGGGTCACATTTAATTTACTTCTGAATTTCTTCCTGTTTCAAGACTTCGGGTGAATCTCAGTGTAATGTTCTTTCTTCTTGGTGGTGATGGAGTGAAGTGAAGATGACTGGGCCGAGCCGACCCGGTAAGCGAGTGCGTACAGATGAACTTTTCTTTTCTCAGGTAGGGGGGGAATCCTCAGGCTCATACCTGAAAATAACACTCAACTCAGGGAAATCATTCAAGTCCAAAGGTTGGCCATGGATCCAGATGTGCGTGAGAGGAGTTCTGGGAGGCTCTGAGAAGGTTGAAAAGGCGAATCTTCTGGCTGCAGGCAGCCTTCTGATAAAAACCAAAAATCATGGACAGACTGAAAAGTTCATGAAAAACAAAAAGTTTGGGAATGAGGAGTGTGAGGTTGTTCGGGAACAAAGAATGAACACATCCAGGGGAACCATCATTGCATATGACCTTGTAGATTTGTCCGAGACCGAGATTGTGGGATGGCTGGGTGAATTTGGGGTAGTGGGTGCTCGGAGATTCACCAAGAGGGTGGATGGAAAGACGGAGAATACCCCAACCATACTTTTGACATTTGACAGGTCCTCATGCCCAGCCAAAATGGAGCTAGATTACATCACATACCATGTCCACCAATATATCCCCAACCCACTGATATGTTTTGGTTGTGGCAGATTTGGCCACACTGAAACAAGATGCCCTGGTGATCCTCTATGCCTTCGTTGTGGGAAAGGAAAGCATGAAGGGGAATGTGAGCGCTGGTGTGTGAACTGCAAACAGTCAGGACACTCATGTATGGCCAGAGAGTGTGAAATATGGAAAAAAGAAAAGGAGATATGTAAGATTAAAACTGAACAAGAACTCTCATACCCTCAGGCTAGAAGGCAATATGAAAAAGAGCATGACCCCCCTGTCCTGAAGTCATATGCTGCAACTGTCCGGCACCCAAGTGTGGCTCCCACTAACAAGCAGCATGATGACCTCAGGGAAAAAGTAGGAAAACTGGAAGAAAAGGTGGGTGAGATGATTGCTCTGCTTCAGCAACTGCTGATGAAACAAGGTGCCCAGGGGAATACCAGGGGGAGGGATGACAGTACCAGACCTGTAGGTAGACAGGATGAGGAAGTTGAGGTGGATGTTATAGCAGAGGGACAGAAGGACACTCAAAAAGATGAGCAGGAAACCTATGAGAGGAGGAATGATGGAGAGGTTCAAGTGATGCAGAGAGATGATGTAGAAAGTGAAAGAGTGGACAGGGAGATGAATCATATGACTGTGGAGCATAATGAGGAGATGGAGGGTTGGCAGAGAGCATGTAGGGCAAAGAAAAAGGACAAACAACAATGTAACATATCTGAGGTACCTAATGACACTACCCCATCACCAATGATTAGCCGAGCAGGGAGATCTACGGAGAGGCCGAAGAGAAACTCCAGCCAAAGGAGGTCATGGAAGGAAGACTAACTAGTATTGAAATGGAGTGAACCACGTTTCTTTCTTCTTTGTTAATAGCTGAATAGTTTGTTGGTGATTGGTTGACAGGTATGTTGAATATTTGAATGAATAGGCCAGCAAATTCAGACGTTCTCCACGTAACTGTTCTCGTGCGGAGGGCATGCAGAGGTCGGTGGTGTTTGTTTTCATAGTTATTTTAGGACCCTTAATGCCGGGATTGTTATGCGAAATGGTTTGCAAAGTTGAGGGAGACTTAAATAACGAGTTCATGGTGTTTTCCGGAGGCAGCTGCGTTTTCGGTTTGAGCAGAGGTCGCCCGGTTGGGCTAGTCCCAGCCCACTTGGTTCTCGGAGGTAAGGTTAAACATCCAGGTGCGATACCTAATTCGGGTCAGGGGGTGGACGAGCTGAGGTTGTTTGTCTCGTGGAGGTCACCCTTCGGAGGGTGCGGGGTGATCCTTGCCGGGGGCAATGGTACAGGCGCTATTTCCACTCGACCGGCCGGAGCGCGCCTGGTTCCGACCGCGGGGTTGGGGCTGGCTGGGGAGGGGAATAAGGGAAAGGGAAATGTGTATGTACTGAGATGTTTTGTTCGCAGTTACAGGACAAGTAGTACATACCGATGTTTGGCATATTTATTAATTTATTTATCTGATTTTTTCATGTTTTTGGTGGCGGTCCTTTGTTGGATTTCGGCGTTCGGGCTGCGCATTGGTTGTATGTTTGTGTGTGGGGATATGGTACGCGGTACAGGCTACTCGCGTGATTTTCTGATGTTCAAGTTTAAAAGTTCAATAAATGTCGAACTGTTGTCGGCGTGTGTGCTTGACTGGACGGAGTCTGCAGTCTAAGGCAACAATAAAATGACTTTCAGCATTATGCAGTGGAACTGTAGAGGTGTGATTTCAAAGTGGGCGGAGATAAAACCACTGCTGCTGGCAAGACCACATAGTGCCGTATGTCTCCAAGAGACACACTTCCTCCCTACTGACCAATATGATTTCAGAATTCCCGGATATACTCTTTATAACGCTTATTCTGACGCACATATTAGACGAGGCGGAGCATCAATCTACGTCAGCAACGACCTACCTCATTTTCAGGTCACACTAAATACTAATTTTCAGGCGGTGGCATGTTCGGTGACAATGGGGCATTCTCGTATTTGTGTTTGTTCTTTATACTTACCACCAAACGAGAATTTGACGTACCTTGAACTGAACGACTTGGTTACACAGCTACCGCAGCCGTATATCATAAACACGGACGCCAATAGTCGGCATTTCTTATGGGGTGCAGACCGGTGCGATTCTCGTGGAAAGGTGTGGGAAATGATAATACGGCAACATGCCTTAAAAGTGATGAACGATGGTTCCCCAACCAGAATGGACGAGTACACAGGATTATGGTCACATATCGACCTGACTGTGACGTCAAGCAGTGTGGGACAATTCATGCATTGGCAAACGGACACTGACTTACACTCCAGTGATCATCTCCCAGTTTATATTACATATGATAGGTATGGAGATATTCCACCACGACGTGACGAATTTACTGGTTGGAATATTAACAAGGCGAACTGGTCTGAATTTACTGACAGATGTTGTTTGCGATTCAGTGAAAGGGACGGTATGCAAAACTACCAAAACATTACGAAGGTTATGCTGGGAGCAGCAAAAGAAAGTATTCCTCGGAAAATCAGAAACACCAAATATAGCTGCCCCTGGTGGACTGACGAGTGCAAGGAGGCAATTCGGGCAAGGAAACGGGCGCTCAATCGATTCCGACGTTCGCACACACATCTGCATTTATTGGCTTATAAGGAGGCGAAGGCGAAAGCCAGAAGGATAATTCGTACGGCAAAGAAAGATTCGTGGGAAAAACTATTGCATATGTTCAATGTGAATACGCCGATACAACACTTATGGGACATCATTAGGAAATTTACCAGAAAGGAGCGATTTGCGAGACCCTTACCTGTTCTGAAGGTGGCTGGTAACATAATTGACGACCCAACTGAAGTTGGAAA